GCTTTCTACACTCTCCAGACCAAGCAGCAAATACTGTATCTTGTTTTTTGCACAGAACAAATGTTTTATTTGACTTATTTCTTTTTTAAAGACTATTTTATACAAAAAAAAGATTATATTTAGATGTTTTCAGCTCATGTAATCATTTAAAATTATTTATTCTTCATATTTAATCATTTGTTGAATTACATTAATCCCAGAGCCGCTGTGTCACAGTATGATTCTAAATATAAACATGTTTAGCACATCAAGAACCTTGTTCTGATCATACAATTGTGAAGAATGAAATTTGTGGATCTTTCTGATAAATTAAAATAACATTTAAAACTCATTCACAGAATATGGCAAGGTTTTATTTWTATTTTTTGGATGGGGGGGCTGATGTTAAACAGACTCATCTTTGCTTTGATATGGGGCAAATAAATGTTCTTCTGTTAGAGGTAATATGGTTTAGAAGAACTCGAACAATAGAAAGACTCAGCCTGCGCGTGCTGAGGTGCGTTCCCGTCTCTCAGGAGGAGAGAGTTTAGTCACTGACGCAAAGTTGGATAGTTCTGCTCGATAACAACGCTCTGAACATATATTTAATAAAAAGTTAGGTTTTAAAGACCAAAGTCTCTGGTAGTTCAGGAGCAAAGTGCAGGAGGAGATGTCAGGACTGATCGCTGCAGCCGCTGCTTCCACTGAAAACAGCTCTGACTGAAAGTCCCGCCCTGCTCTGCTCTGATTGGATAAAACAGCTCTGGAGTTCATCTGATTTGTTGAAAGCAGTGTCTGTTTAATCCTTATACATCAGGGCCCCTTCGCCCTCCTCTGACAGAACYATGATCCAGTCACACCAGTGAGGCTGGATTTTTGTTTGTTTTTAAGAAATCAGGTTACATTTGCGACCCTGCTAGCTGTTGTTTTCACAATCTCAGGTACAATCTCAGGTACGCAAGGGAGCTTTATGACATTCCATCTGGTGCGCTTTTTCTTTTTTGATCGCGCATGCGCACCGCTTATGTGCAACTCTGCCTATGATCCAACATGATCAAAGGTTTTATCTACGCTATTGTTCCAATGTGGGAGCAACTCCTACATTAGTTTTTAGGGCACCTTGTATTCCCAGGCGGTCTTCCATCCAAGTACCATAGTAACCAGGCCTGACCCTGTTTAGCTTCTGAGGGTTGCCAGTTCAACCTCCTGTTCCAACCATCTCAGTCCAAAACACTTCACCCCCCTTGGTTGTGATCAGGGGATCCGGTGGTGTCCGGGGAATGGCAGCCCCGCCTCTGTCAGTGTGTGAATGTGTGTATGAATGGGTGAATGACTGTTAGTAGAAAGCACTTTGGGGTCCCCATGGWGCTTSATAAAGTGCTATGTAGGTTCAGACCATTCACCATTTCTTCAAATCCGATGCAGATCTTGACAGTATGTGATGTCACATTATTTTCTGCAGATGGGCCCCCCTTATGGAGGGAGTGTGAGTACAACAGTCATTTCAATGGTCGTTGCATTTGGTCACTACAGTTTCATTCCTTGGTGTTAGCTCGGGGCACTATACAGATACCTTCCTGCCTTAACGTGATGGCTGTAGAATATGGAAGATAGAGCGTTTCGTACCGTACACTTCAGATTGGCTGGAGATACTGAACATCCCAYCTAAAACAGGACAGTTGGCAACCCTAGCCTAAACTAGCATGGAGCGGTGTGTAGGAAGCCAGAGAATGTGGACAGTTATAACACAGCTTGAGTCAGTGTCTTGCCCTCAGGCCGGTAACGTGACTGTAGGTGATCTGCTGTGAGCACAGCAGAAATGTGTAAATGCAGCAAAGCTCCATCCCATCAAACTCAGTGTGTCCGTGTGTTAGTCATTACTGCTCAGCTCTCCCACATCTGACTCACAAGTACTTACATTATAAAAAGTCTCACACACACACACACAGCCTCATGCTTTGCACCAACGTTACAATGTCTATGAATATCTGTTATTTTTACTGAGCATGTATGTGCTGCCTAATGTCTTACATAACCAATCACCATCAACAGTTATGCAAATGAGATAATTCATTAATTAGCTGTCAGCCATGAGTGTTTCATTATAGTCTTGCCCTCAGGTAGCATTCACTATTATCCCAAATCTAAACAGTCATTATTATGGAAATGATATCTCTGAAAGTTTAATTAGATACTGTATAGCAGTAGCATATGTGACCCCACATGTACACAAAGCAGCAATGCATAAGAAGTAATTTTAAAACTGTTTATTGGAAAACTGAAGCTATGCATTCTGGGTACATGACGGACTGACAGGAAACGAAAGCTCGGGGAACAGGAAACTAGTATCTTCCCTTTAAGAGCTTGGATTTTAAAGTTTTCCAGTCCACTTGAAACTCATCAGACTGAAGACGTCTCTTGGAGGAGAGACGAAACGTTTCACTAAAGAAGAACCCATCCAGAGGACCTACTTATTTTTTCTTTTTGATTTTTTTCTACCTTGATTAGGACGTTTTCTATGTAGTTGCTCCAGTTGACCACTAGATGTCAGTCTTCACCAGCATAACATCTTTAAATCATTTCTGAGTCTCTAACACCGTTGGCTGATTGCTTTTGAGCTCCAGCGTTTAAACTTTATTTTAAAAAAAGGAACTCCGATTGTAAAGTAAAATAAATCAGTACATACAAAAATTTAGTATGGATTACAAACATTTACTGTTTTTGCAATTGCCTCCCTGTTACATAAGCAGACACAAAGCATTGTGGGAAATCAGAACTGTGACCGAATGCAACAGTCAGCAAGGATGTATATGTTTCCAATAAGTGTGTTTATCTGGGAGGGGTGCTGTTGGATAGATCACATGTGTTGTGATTCATTGACAGTCATACCTTCTGCTGTTCAAGATAATGAGGACTGGTAGATAATTAGTTATTAGCGGTACTGCATTTTAATTTTAGAAAGCACAAATCCACTTATGACTTATAAAAATTAGTAAGACCGCTAAAGAGCAAACAAAATGTTTAGGTCCGCAATTAGCGGATTTGCAGTTTAGCGGGCTGGTTTTGGGTAGGGGTCCATGTGGGTGGGAAGTGGGGGGTGGACCATTGCTGGGCCCGATGGATAGCCCTTCATCAGAGCTCAACAACAACAAATATCTGAAGCTCCTATGTTCAGTAGATTTTGTTATTGGAATTTTTGTATGAATTAACAGACACTCTCTTTTTTAGATGGAGCCCCCTCCTCAAATATAGGGTCTATTATGAAACAATTGGCTGGCGCAGTGTAGGTTGGACACCAAATTTCCTTTTGATCAATGCAGCTGTTTCCGTGCCATGGTTGACTAAAAATCACTGGAAAAATAAATAAATAAAAATGAACAGTACTAAAACAACAAGACCCCCGCATCACATGCAGGGGTCCTAATTAGATCATGTGGTCTAAGAAAGTGTCCTTATTGTCAGCTCACAGTGTGTTTTGAGCTTATAGAAATTAAGATTCAAGTGAAAGACACTCAGGACACCTCAATGACAACATGGCTGTATATCGTCCATTTTAATTCTCTCTCCTCCCCCCCCACTTCAAGGACTCATGTCAGAAGCCTGCGTGCTATGAGAAGACAGTCACGCTCACCAAAGAGCCGTATGACTCCCTGGGCATGACGGTTGCGGGGGGTATGTCCAGCCGAGGGTGGGACCTTCCCATCTATGTCACGAACGTGGACCCTGACGGAGTGGTGGGTCAAGAGGGCTCCATTRGCAAAGGTATGCAAATATCAAGATGGTCCTCATTTTTCATTGCAAGGACACAGTTGTGTAATGAATTGCTCATGAGTGTTTGTTGGGGTTTGTTATTTTATGAATGTGTCTTTCGTTGGTGATGACACAAGAGAAATGATGACTTCCTACTCATGTTTCAGTCTAAAGGTTGAGCAGAAAAACCTTGATACTATTSTGGTTCATTGCTCCACACACGTTCCTGCACACTTCAGCACAAACAAACAGACATTCTTACCAATACATTCTGCATGTATACCGGTGAGGCACTGAGGTCTTGTATTGTGGCTGAAATGCGAYGGAAGGTGGGAGATTTTCACACCAAGAGCTGATTTCAGCAATCCATCTTAAAACAAAACGTTATTAAGCCCTTCGATGCCCCCAATATCCTGCTTCCTCCTATCTTGAGGGTCTGTTTATGAGAGGAGAGAGAAATGTTCCAGTGGAACATAACAGTAATATGAAGAGCTCATAACTTGTTCTGTTATCTTGTGTACGGTTCAAGGTGCATATTACTGAATTGGTAAGGGACGCAGCAGCAGCTGTCTCTTTGTTTTTGTGCTCATGAAAGGCATTCATTACATTTGCACATCCTCTTGGGGCAAATGTATGTATGAGTTGCTTAAAAGCAAGCAGGACAATGCTACCTATCTATGCATCACTTTCATCGGTAGCAGGCTTTTAAAAACACAGGTGGGCATTGGATTCCTCGTCTCTGTGCACACACTGAAAGCTGCATGAATATTAGACACACAGATACACAGTCTGTGTCCTGTGCTGTGTTTTTAAAGCTAATATCAGGATAGGAAACACGGCAGCTTCTTTCTCTCCACAGGTGACGTTTTGCTGAACGTAAACGGGGTGGATTTGACGGGGGTGACTCGGGGTGAGGCCGTGGCCAACTTGAAGAACACCTCATCTCCTGTTGTGCTCAAGGTCCTGGAGATGCGACCTCCTGATGAGAAATCTCCGGAGTGCTCATTGCCGCCCTGTCTCACCTCATCCCCCACAGACAGCACTAAGAGCCCACTGCCTAATGATGACTACTCCCCACAGTGGGTGTCATGGCTGCAGCTACCCAGGTAATCACCTACTTTATGTCTGTTTAAATATATGGTAACACTTTCTTTTACGGTACCCTTATTACCATGTAATAACAACATAATAAAATGGTAATTAAAATTTGTTTTTACTACCTTATTACCATGTAAATATGTAGTAACTAGGGCACAATTTTACTATGTAATTAATTGTCTGCAGTAATGTAGCACTTACCTGGTAATGTATTACAATTCACTATGTAACACCTAAATAAGTAGTAGGTAA